ATTTTTGTGTGGCTACCCCTGGACTCTGGTATTTATTCTACAAAATCTGGATACAACTCAAAAGCACAACAATCCTCCACGACCTTGGAACCGGCCCCTCCCCTTCAACCTCCTATCACAGATTTCAACTGGATTAAAGACCTTTGGTCGGTAAAAACTGCTCCAAAACTTAAGCTGTTTTTATGGTCGATAATTTAAGAAGCATTACCTCTAGGAGTCGAGCTCCAGCGTCGAGGAATGATCTCTGCTGCTCTCTGTCCCCGCTGTAAGATGGAGGAATCAGCGACCCACGTTTTCTTTCATTGCCCTTTTGCCAAAGAAGTGTGGAACCTCATTCCGATCACCACGCCAGTTCACCTAGCTGATGTTAATGACTTTAAAGCTTTCATGGTTTACTCAAGAGGAGTGTTCTGCCTCCCTCCTACAGGGATTAGAGTTCCCTTTCTCCCTTGGATCTGCTGGTCCCTGTGGTTGGCAAGAAACAAGTTAATTTTCGAAGGAAAAGGGACCACCCCACTCGAGGATGCAACAAAAGGACTCTCAGCAGCACTATAGTGGGATCAGGCTCAGAACACCAATATATCGATAAAGAAGAAGGCTTTACCTCCCAACTCAGGTCAGCAGCAGGAGCCTGGTCCTCTCTCGACCCCTCTTGCTTCGTGGACGCAGCATGGAAGGCGACCTCACTCCGAGCAGGAATCGCATGGCACTTCAGAAATCACCAATCAAGAGCACCATCTTCAGGATCCCTTGTCATCGAAGATGTGTCATCTCCCCTCATGGCTGAATCACTCGCTCTTCGTCATGGAATCAAGGAAGCCCTAGCGTTAGGGTTTCTCTCAATGTCGTTTCACTCCGATTGCGCAACGCTCATCAGAGCAATCTCATCCCAAAGTCATATCAAAGAGATCTATGGAGTTCTCCAGGACATCAAGAACCTCTCCTCTAACTTTGTTTCTATCTCCTTCCTGCATGTCTCTCGTTCCCAGAACAGAGAAGCAGATGCTTTAGCTAGATCGGCCCTTTCGGCCCATTCGCCTTCTACTTGTATTTCGTTGGGCTAGACCCTCCTGGGCCTTTAAACCTTTGTCTTCCTTTCCGTTTTTAATTAAAATCCTGGTTGTTCAAAAAAAAAGTTAATATCTTCGAATCCTTTGTATATTTCTAAAACCTTTTTCATGATCATGGTAGAAGATCCTGACATTGCATGGTTATACATACTAGCGAATTGTTCATTCGAACCGATGTATTCAAAGAGTCTCATGCCATGAGCAGAAATGAATGTATCTTTTCCTTCGTGTATCAGATCTTTCAAATGTGTCCTGCATTGAAATAGAAGTCTTAAATTCTTCACTGGAAGTGTGAATAATGAGCACTTCATCGCAGATTGGTGTAGTTAGAAGGTTATTAACCGATTTAATATGATTGAGGATCAACTACTAACTTTGCATGCATATTTTCAAATAATAAAAATATGTACCAAGTTTTGAAATAGACTTGGCTATGGTGTAACATGAATAGGGACATGAGTGAACCCGACTCATGACCATGTTTTAAGAAATGCGGGCAAACCGGTTCGGCTGCATATACCATTTGGATATTTCCGGTTAGATCTTTTTCTCCGGTTTCAACTATTTTTGGGGTCAAAATCGGTACGACGGAATTAATAGCCAAAACTCCCCGCGAAAATACAAAAAGAACATTTTTATAAAATTCGAGAATCGTTTTATAAAACTCGAGAATCGTTTTATAAAACTCGAAGATCGTTTTATAAAACTCGAGAAATCGTTTTATAAAGCTCGAGAATTATTTTATAAAACTCGAGAAATCGTTTTATAAAACTCAAAGATCGTTTTATTAAACTCGAGAAATCGTTTTATAAACCTCGAGAATCGTTTTATAAAACTCGAGAAATCGTTTTATAAAACTCGAAGATCGTTTTATAAAACTCGAAGAAATCGTCTTATAAAACTCGAAGATCGTTTTATAAAACTCGAGATATCGTTTTAAAAAGCTCGAGAATCGTTTTATAAAACTCGAGAAATCGTTTTATAAAACTCGAGGATCGTTTTATAAAACTCGAAGAAATCGTTTTATAAAGCTCGAGAATCGTTTTATAAAACTCGAGAAATCGTTTTATAAAACTCGAGAATCGTTTTATAAAACTCGAGAATCGATTTATAAAACTCGAGAATCGTTTTATAAAACTCGAGAAATCGTTTTATAAAACTCGAGAAATCGTTTTATAAAACTCGAGAATCGTTTTATAAAACTCAAGAAATCGTTTTATAAAACTCGAGAATCGTTTTATAAAACTCGAGAATCGTTTTATAAAACTCGAGAAATCGTTTTATAAAACTCAAAGGCCGTTTTATGAAATCCGAAGATCGTTTTATAAAACTCGAGAATCGTTTTACAAAACCGCAAAAAAACGAAAAAAGCCGTAAAACGCGAACTAGTCGCAACTAGTTCGCCCATCGGCGAACTAAGCCGGACCCGGCTTAGTTCGCCGATGGGCGAATTAAGAAGCACTCTCTAGTTCTCCCATCGGCGAACTAAGCCGGGCCCGGCTTAGTTCGCCGATGGGCGAACTAGAGACTTCTCGGACACTCCGCGTCTCGATTTCCCACATTCCCGATTCGAAACTTACGTCTTTCGACAAGGTCGCATTCTGAACCACGGCTGAAATATCTCCCGTTCCATCTCGATCCGACTTACCATTCGAGTTTTACGATAAAAACCGTAAAACTTCGTTTTCTCGGAAATAACTCGAGGAAATCGTATAAAACGGCAACGGTTAAACGAAACACCGAACATTGCCTAAACTATACGATTTATTCGAGATTTCTCGTTAAAATCATAAAAACGCGCTTTTTAATAAAAAAAACGTCGAGTAAGTCGTAAAAAACGTGTTTTTAATAAAAATTCGAGTAAATCGCAAAACCTTGCGATTAACTCGAGTAAACTATTAAAAACGACGTCAGATCGGAAAACGATCCCGTAAAAGTCAGAAAACGGATTTATCGCAAAACGGCCCGAAACGACCAAAAACGCGATAAAAACCCATCTCGCGATCTTAACGGAATCTAACCCGCAGATTTGACAACGTTTTGACGGTTTACTCGCAGAAGGAAAATAAAAGTCAAGTTTAAAGATAAAAGGAAGGTTTGAAGAGAAATAGAAGATTTCCGCAGAAGAAAAGGAAGGATCGAGAAGAATGGAAAATTCCCGATTTAGTCAAATCTNACTCGCAGAAGGAAAATAAAAGTCAAGTTTAAAGATAAAAGGAAGGTTTGAAGAGAAATAGAAGATTTCCGCAGAAGAAAAGGAAGGATCGAGAAGAATGGAAAATTCCCGATTTAGTCAAATCTGGGCGAAATGGAAAGATCGGATAGCCAAGACGAGGAGTATATAAAGAGGAGGTCTAGGGCAGAAACACAGACACAAAATTCAGAGCTCTCACCACCAAAACTAGCATTTAGGAATCTTTCCGTTTTTCTGTTAGCGAGCTGCGTCTCAATTAGGGTTTTCTAGTTCTTACGTTTTCGGCTACTCTCTTTGTACCAGTTCAACGCAGATTCGGAATAAGAACCTTCTTTGCTCTCTATTTCGTTTATTTTCATTCAAATTCCAAAGTTATCGTTTTCTTATTTTTCGTTGTGCGGTTCTCGCAGATAGCCGGTTCCTCTGGAAACTTAGGGTTTTCCCGAAGTTTCCTTTTTTACGATTTATTTGACAGTAGGGTGAAATCGACTCCCACAGTTTGGCGCTAGAAGGAGGGGGGGTCGGATCTATCTTACACCGTAACCGCAACAAGTCCAATGAAGAAACGATGACTAGTGACAATCAAACTCGCGACGAACGCGACAACGTTGAAACACCGCTATCAAAAGACGCGCCTGCGGCCAACGCTACAAACGCTAACGCCGAGACCGTCGAAAAGATGCTTTCCGAGTTTAACAAAAAATCGGAAGAGCAGGAAAAGCTCATTGGTTCACTCGCAAAACGGCTCGAAACCCTAACTGCGAGAACCAAAGCGATTCGCCCCCGCGGAACTACCAAGATCCACGGAAGGAGACTCGATTTCGGCGCTCCTACGGATCGTCCCAGAATCGATCAGGGAAACGTACCGGAAAAGGATTCCGGAAAACAAAACCCTGACACGACTCTGAACGAATCGGAAAAATCTCCTATTCGCGAACAGGAGACCGAAGGCGACGGCATCGAAAGGGTCAACCTGGAAACGAGCGACCAGGCCGACTCGACATACGAAGACGCCGACGTCCATCCTAGGAGAAGGAAAACTCGCAGTCCTGAACCGGAGTCGTCTCCCGAACGTTCCTTTACTGGAGACGAAGGAGAACTCGACTTCACGCGATACGCAAAAAGCGCCGAGGAGCGATCTCCGGTCACTCGCAGCAAACGCCGACAGGGTCGGAAAAATGCTGACAATCAGACCGAGATTCGCGATCTCCGCGAATACATTACCGAAACAGCCGCAGCGGTAAAAGCGATAAAATCTCAGATTCACCACGCGACCAGCACCGCACCCGAGATCGATCGGCTGCTGTACGAGTCTCGGAAAACGCCCTTCGCGGCTCGCATCACCGAATCAAGCTGCCCGATCCCGGAAAGATTAAGGTGCCAACTTACAACGGAACGACCGATCCCAAAGCACACCTGCAAGCATTCCAGATCACCATTGGACGAGCCAAGCTCAAAGACCACGAAAAAGACGCAGGCTACTGCCGCCTCTTCGTCAAAAATCTAGAAGGAGCCGCACTCGAGTGGTTCGCCAAACTTAGGCGAAACTCGATCGGAAGTTTCCGTCGATTGGCTTCGGAGTTCCTGAAACAGTACTCGATGTTCATTAACCCGAAAACCTCCGACGCCGATCTCTGGAGCTTGGTGCACGAGGAGGACGAATCTCTCCGCGACTTCATGAGTAGGTTCAAACTCGTCATGGCTAGGGTTAGCGGCATTAGCGACAAAGCCGCCATCGACGCGTTGAGGAAATCTCTTTGGTATAAATCGAAGTTCCGCAAATGGATAACTCTCGAGAAACCGCGGACGATCCAGGACGCGCTCCATAAGGCCACCGACTTCATAACCATCGAGGAGGAAACTAAAATCCTGTCCGAGAAGCATAAGCCGACGAAAACATCCGCAAAGGATAACGCGTCCGAGCAGAAGCAGAAAAAGAAAAGCTCTCGTAACGACA